GGGTCCGTTTCCCGTCACCCTCCGGGGGCATAAGTATCTGCTCGTCGGGTTGGAGTACCTTACTCGCTGGCCTATGGCATGGCCACTGGTGGACCAATCTGTGGGGTCGATCGCAGAAGCTTTCTTGCAGGGATATGTTTTTGATAAGGGCGCCCCGGAGCACTTGCTCACTGATCAAGGCAGAAATTTTTCGTCATGATTGCTTAAGGAAGTGTGTGATTCATTAGGGACCAAAAAGATTCGAACGTACCCGTACCACCCGCAAACCGACGGGATGGTTGAACGCCTGCATAGGACGCTGACGTCTATGCTTTGCCACCAGGTTAATGCCTCACAGAATGATTGGGACCTGCATGTTGCGGCGACTCTGGCCGCTTATAGACTGGCCCCGCATGCCTCGACGGGTACTCGCCGTTTTATTTGATGTATGGGCGTGAACCAGAAGCACCGGCCTTGGTCAAATTGGGTGTGCAAAAACAGGGAAAGTCATCGACGCTGCCTGCTACTATGCAGGTGGCTTTGGACCATCTGAGAGAGGCTTGGGAGGCCTCGTTGGGTAACACGGCGCGACGACAAGCCGCCAACGAATGGTTGCATGGTACGCAGCGGCCTCGAGAGCCGTGATGTGTTGGGGACAAAACATGGTTGCATTGTCCCATGGTACCAGTGGGAACGTCTCCAAAGTTCCATCGGCCCTGGCAGGGGCCCGTTGAGGTCGTTGAAGTTCTCCGGGACCAAAGTGTACGGATTCGATTCGGTCGTCGAATATGGTATGTTCACCCATCGTGCCTTAAGAAATTTGTATTGCCATATGACGCGTCATCTCCCATCCCAGAGCAGCCTGTATTGGATGTGTCCGACGAGCCTGTGAGGAGGTCGCATGTGTACGCGCCTCAGAAATCTGCCTCCCGTGTGCCTGCAGGACCATCCCTATTGACTCGACGAGGGGGTTCTGGCAGATTTACTGGCCGGACACCGGTTGACCGGCCGCAACCTTGAGATACTGTCCAGCCCGCGCAGGGACAAGGGACGGTCCCGCCAGCAGATGGTCGCTGTGACAGGGACGGATGTGCGTCAAGGACCAGACGCAGCCCTGACTTAACGGAGGAGCGTGGCCCGCCTTTGCCCCACGGTGTCCCGTATAGGGGAAATGGGCCGGCAGCTGGAACTCGCTCCCGAGGACGGATTTTTCATTGACTCTGTGTGATGCGGTTCTTGTAAAAAGTTGCTATGTTGTGTTCATTGTTATGTCCTAGATACTCCACTACCCAGAGGTCGAAGTGTCGTTGTAGCCGGGACAGCTAGATTTTTTCATCACGGGGGGGGAGGGGGGGGTCATGTAGTGGAATAGGAAGATGTGTAGTGAAAACAGCATGATTACATAACACTGACAGTATGGGTTATGTTGGGTCAGCCTGTAGCGAAGGCAAATACAGTACAGGTTATGTGAGGGCAATTAAGCTGGGAGAGCCAAGGACGGCTGTGATTGGTTGGTGCTGTTGCCAAGGCTGGAGGGGCGTCTTGAAGTCTGGCGAGGTAACAGGTGTAAGGTCACGCGGAGTGCCGTTGGGACGCGGGTTAATTAATTGGGGAGTAATGAGAGCGGGGATAAATTGGGGGGTCGGCAATTGGAGCGGGGAGTTGAAGTTGGAGAGCTTAGAGTGAACAGGGGAAATTGAAGTTGGAGTCAACAGCGGGGAATTGAAGTGTGGAGAGCTTGGAGACAGAGAGTTGGAGGGACAGAGTTTAGGAGAGACGGAGTTGGAGACGGAGCTTGGAAACAGCGTAGAGATAGCGGAGCTGAAGAAGAGAAGCAGCCAGCAGTGGAGAGAGCGTAGCGATAGCGGAGCTGAAGATGAGAAGCAGCCAGCAGTGGAGAGAGCGTAGTGATAGCAGAGCTGAAGAAGAGAAGCAGCCAGCAGTGGAGAGAGCGTAGCGATAGCGGAGCTGAAGAAGAGAAGCAGCCAGCAGTGGAGAGAGCGTAGCGATAGCGGAGCTGAACAGAGACGAAGCAGTTAGCAGTGGAGAGAGCATAGTGACGGTGATAGCGGCGAACAGAGACGAAGCAGTTAGCAGTGGAGAGAGCATAGTGACGGTGATAGCGGAGAGCAGAGACGAAGTAGTTAGCAGTGGAGAGAGCATAGCGACGGTGATAGCGGAGAGCGGAGACGAAGAAGTTAGCGGCGGAGTAAGCGAAGTAATCGTGGGGAGTGGAGAGACAAAGGTGGCGAGCGAGTCGAGGGAAGCACGGCAAGCGAGCCGTGGCGACATGGATACTGTGGAATGTGGAGGACATGCTGAGAGTTGTAAATAAAGCGGTGTTCGAAGAAAGACAAAAGTTGTCTGAGTGAAATCGAACACTACAGGTATTCTAACTCTACAGCAGTATGTACTGACCTTAGTAGTAGCTGCACTAACTCTACAGCAGTGTGTACTGGCTGTAGTATTAGCTATACTAACTCTATAGCAGTGTGTACTGGCTGTAGCAGTAGCTATACTAACTCTATAGCAGTGTGTACTGGCTGTAGCAGTAGCTATACTAACTCTATAGCAGTGCGTACTGGCTGTAGCAGTAGCTATACTAACTATAGCAGTGTGTACTGGCCGTAGTAGTAGCTGTACTAACTCTACAGCAGTATGTACTGGCTGTAGTAGTAGCTCCTATAACTACAGTAGTATGTACTGGCTGTAGTAGTAGCTACTATCACTACAGTAGCATGTACTGGCCGTAGCAGTAGCTATATCAACTTTACAGCAGTGTGCATTGGCTGTAGCAGTCGCTATACTAACGCTACAGCAGTGTGTACTGGCTGTAGCAGTAGCTATGCTTACTAAAGTAAATAAAAAATAAAAATAAAATAAAAAACACATTAATGTAGACTGTATCCTGATTTTTAATAGGAGGGAGTGTGCTGGCAGTCTATAATGTAGACTGTAGCTTGGTTATTAAGTTTGGTGAGTGTACTGGCAGTCTATAATGTAGGGCAGAAGTCAGTTAATAAAATATGCAGTTAAATCATACTCCCTGGGAATGATATGATGATGTGATGCTTGGTCATAAATTAAGTGTGAGCACTTCAAGCCCAAGCTTGTTTTATTGGAGATGGAATATAAACGTCAGCTACTCTGTGGCTTGTTGCAGGCAGCATATCATTTGATGTCTACCTTGTAATGGCTGAATAAATGTTTGATATTGTTGCTTTTATATGCAGATGTGACAATTCCACGGACATGACGGAAAAAAATATGCATATAAATGTGTATTATATATTAAATACTGGATTATATGTCGTGACACTCTCTTCCCATGAACGTCGAGGGCCATACCCTGGCAGCCAGGAGAAATGCGGTAGACCAAAATACAGACTAATATCATTGGTATGGGATACAGTGTTGCCCCCTTGCATGTGTCAGTTTTCTCCAGGTGCTCCAGTTTCCTCCCATATGCAGACACTTGTTAATTTGCTAATGACACCTTAATATAAACAGAATCGCAGAGCTTTAGTGATGTTTGGTGCCATCTGCCTTCCAGCTTGTCTGTGGATCCTCGTTGATTGTAAGATGCAATCTGCGTGAACGACACAATATGACGGCTCCTATATAGTCAGCCAGGTATGTAGTGAGCATCGTGTAGCAGCTACATAGCCACTCAGTTGTAAATTAGTCAACCTGCGTCCATCTGATAACCTGTCATCAAATCGGGTGGACTGTATTGTATATGAAATATATATTTAAATTAAGTAAGACAGCGTCTCTGGGTGCTACTTTACACTTACGTACCACACCAGGTACTCGTTAAAGACTCTGTCAACCTAGGGGAGGTCCAGTACCGCTCCAGACATAATTTGGGCACTTATATTAGCCATGGCCAGGAATCAAACTCAACATACTGGGTTCATATTGCAGCGTGCTAACCACGGAGCAACCGCTCCCAACAACATTCATCATTCACCACGAAGTAGTGGTGACATCACCATGGTGCTTGTGCTAGGCGAGATGCACCCTGAGGCCACGTGAAATGAGGAAGGCAAGGCCACAGGAGGTCATGAAACAAAACCATGTTTTTTTATGGATTCACTGAATAAGATAACTGGCAGATGCACCAACTAGCTGCGTTTTAGCCACCTGGCATTCCACTCACTGCTGTCAGCACCACTCCTCTGCACTCCGGGCAAACAGAAGCTCCTTGGCATGCGGGCTAAATTAACCAACTGTGCCCATATCTTTCAAGGATCTGTGAGCTTCAAACAATCCAGTCAGTTTAAACCCATAATGATTCGTGGCCAGGCTAGCCTGAATATTTCAACCAGCACAGATTATCGGGCATACAGAAGGGAGGGCATAACTGAAGACATAGAGCCAAGAAGACCTAGAGAAATGTATCAGGTAACTTCAATACAGCGATGCACAATTGATTAAATAAAATGCTGCTCGACTGATTCAGAGACCTCTGCTGCCAAACCAGAGCTGGCCATAAGCAGAGTCCCCAGGTAGGAAACATCTCCACTCTCTCCACAACTGCCCGATCACTCGTTTGGAGTTGAGGGTGGAGAGTATTTGATGACACAAAATGCCCATGCAGGTGTGTTCGTTAATGGCATGCTCCAGGATCAATAGTTGAATCTTCAGCGCGAGTAGCAAAAACCACATCAGCATGGTTGACCATCTTCCAAAGACAAAAATCCCCCGTATAGACTAAACAGACTGTTGGGCAAATTCTGTTATCGAGCACCTATGAAGGCCGGCACAGCACACGAGGGAGTGGGTGGCCAGCACCACGCATGATCGCCTTTATTTCCAGACTAACGATGTTTACACATAGCACCAGGTACTCATTTGATGCCGAGTCGACCTTGAGGAGGCCCAGGACTGGTTCAGATAATCGTCACTGGTGTTGACTGTGAGCAGGAATCGAGTTACCGGGTTCGGAGCGCAGCGCCCTAACCACTGCGCTACCCCACGACCGCCCCATGGCTCCCCCTCCCCACCCTGGCTGTGTTCTTGCAAATAAAAGGGGCGCGTTGACCAATGTTCCTGACATCAACAGCTCGAGAATCCACCAGTGCTCACCGATCAACGCCTACTCGTCATGGTAATAACACACGCAATGACACGCATTATGACACGCATGCACAATGCACATACAGTACTGAAATGCACATGCAACATGTGGATAATTATACAATTTGCCGGAACCAATTTTAGTGGAAGCCGAAGTGGGGAGATACTTTTCCTGGTCAAAGTGGCCGATCGGCTGCCTCTATGATGGCTCTTGAAGTACTAGAATCACACACAGACACATGTATGCACTTGTAAGCGGTAATATGGCGTACCTTCTTTCTCTGGGCTATAGTGTCAGTCACAACGAGTATACGACCTACTCGTTTCTCTGATGGGCTTCGTATTATTTTTAAGCGTTTGGCACGTGCCTTAAATAATGTAGAACTTTAGACCGAACCAGCTCTATGAGCAAAACAATTTTACATTCAGGCTGTGATCGTTTATGGTTGGCCCACATTTTAAAATGTAGTTTTGGTTTTCAATTTATCTAGTTTTATGGGCACAGAATCAACTATCGTCGTACGGAAATTGTGATTTCTAGCCCTTCGAGGACAAAATAATAAACATTTTCAATCAGATCGTCTATGTGTGCGATTCCCATCTCTGGCTATTACGTTCGATAATTTACTGCTGCGGGGTTCATGTGCCACAGCTTGGTTATCACGCAGACATACAGCACTCTACATCTGTAGGGTGTGATGTGCTCTACGCCCTGTCCAATAATACCCCGATATGCGTATAATCGATTCTGTATACTGAACTTTGATTTTTTTTACCATTTTACACAGAAAGCAAAAAAAAAATAATGTGAAGTAATTAATAAATGCACTGGAATGCAGAAAAAGAATGTTGTCGATCGACAGTACTATACAAATAATAAAAAGTTTCCTCACAATGTTTGTTTTGTCACGTCAGTTATTAATGTTCATACTGTACAGTGCAAAAAATATGTTCAATATAAATGTTCTTTGTTCACAATATGAATGGTAAGTTATGAATTGTTTATCGTATGAAATGGTAAGTTACGAAGGCTGGGAACGCATCCTCATATTACTGGTGCTATAAGTTATTCAATATACAAAGTTTCAATAAACGAAGCTCCAGGTACGCATCCACTTCGTATATCGAGGTATTACTTTACGTGAAAAAATAACTTGCTGATAATGCTTCGGCCGTGGTGCATAAGCACAAATACCACCTTAGTCAATAATAAAACTGCTATAAACTGAAATATATAGCATAGGCCACTTTATGTGCAAATTACCCTTCTTCGTAGCACATATATGTAGTGTTCGATTTCACTCGGACAACTTTTGTCTTTCTCCGAACACCGCTTTATTTACAACTCTCAGCATGTCCTCCACATTCCACAGTATCCTGGTCGCCACGGCTCGCTCGCCGTGCTTCACTCGGCTCGCTCGCCACCTTTGTCTCTCCACTCCCCACTATCACTGCGCTTACTCCGCCGCTAACTTCTCCGTCTCCGCTATCACCGTCGCTATGCTCTCTCCACTGCTAACCACTTCGTCTCTGCTCTCCGCTATCACCGACGCTATGCTCTCTACACTGCTAACTGCTTCTCTTCTTCAGCTCCGCTATCGTTACGCTCTCTCTACTGCTAGCTGCTTCTCTTCTTTAGCTCCGCTCCACACTCTTGTTTCCAAACTTTGTCCCCAACTCTTGTCTCCAAACTCTCCTCCAAACTCCACGTCTTGCCTCGTCCAGCTCCCAACTCCAACTCCCCACTCTAATTCCCGACTCCCCAATTTATCCACGCTCTCATCACATCCCAATTAATCAACCCGTGTCCCAACGGCGCTTCGCGTGCCCTCTGCACCTGTTACCTCGCCAGACTTCAAGACGCCACTCCAGCCTTGACAACAACACCAACCAATCACAGCCGTCCTTGGCTGCCCCAGCTTAATTGCCCTAACGTAACCTGTACTGTATTTGCCTTCGCTACAGGCAGACCCAACATGACCCGTACTGTCTTTGTTACCATGCAATCACACTGTTTGCACTACGCACCTTCCTACTCCACTACACATACATTATAGTAAGCCAAAGAAAACCGATTGTCGAAATAAACCATTCCCCCCCACCCTCCGCGTAGGCCGTGTATCTCGCACAAATGCACGGCAGAGCGGTCTCGATGTTCTAGGTCAACGCGACTATTTTTCAGCTTGCTCTTAAATACAAAGCAGAAAATACATCTGTGTTTGTGTGAAGCGGCAAAAAACTCTCGAACGCTGAGCTCTGACGTCATGTAATTTTCCCAGCTGCTGCTGTCTGGAATTTTTAGGGAACGTGACAATTTTCAGCTCTCACGTCATTTCCTTCCCGAGCTGCCTAAATCGTTTAGCATACTTCCCAACATGCTGTAAACTTGAAATTTGCCATGTGGGTAGCTTCCAGACTGTACACAATGCTAAACGTCTAAAAATAGACTTTTGTATTTTTCTTGGGAGGGGGGGGGGGGCGGAATAATGGATATAATCCTCTTTGGTTTTTTCGTTAAAGTCACATAGGTATAAAATAAAATAAATCACGACGTTTCGGGCGCAACACAAGCGTCGATCATCAGGTGGGAAAGCATGGTCTGCTGCTGAGGCAGCCTGTTTAAAAAGGTTTGCAATGGGTGTAGCCCAAGGGTCATAAAGAAGTGGGCGGGGCTAGTGATGTTAATGTGAGAAATTAGCATGTAACTGTAAGATAGGAGGAGAGAGGCCTCCTGGACAAGGGCATGGAAGTGGCTGTTAATGTGAGAAATTAGCATGAAATACCAGCTGACATAGGCAGGTAGGATGGAAACATCACACTCAGTTAAGACTTTACCTGGTTACTAACGTCCTTCCAATGATTGCTCAGTTTGTACCCATCCTCTCGGTTGAAGTTGTGTCTGTGTTTATATATCTGGATGGCTTCATGAACAAATCCCTGAAGGTAGCCGGTAGGTTTGCAGAGTACCTCCATCTTGGAAAAATCTATTTCGTGTGAGCCCACACCGTTAAAACAATGATCGGCAACGGCAGAGGTATTGGTCCTGCCGTGTTTTAGGTCTGCTTTATGTTCACGAATGCGGTCCGAGACATGTTGTTTTGTTTCCCCAATGTAACTGCTGCCACAACCACAACTCAGTTTGTAGACACCAGGGTATTGCATGTCAGGAATCACATCCTTTACAGATGGGATTAAATCACAGATTTTGTGTCCTGTGTTGAAACGAACCTGGATCCTGTGTTTGTTTAAGATTTTGAAAATATTTTTGGTAACGCATGCTATGTATGCAAAAGTGATGGTTTTGGTTGGATCCTCAGAAGGTTGTCTCCCCATGTCTGGGGAGGCAGCTTTGTGGATTGTACGGTCCGAGTATCCGTTCATCCTGAGGGCTTGGTGTACGTGCTCCAACTCACTAGCTAGGTGGTGCTGGGCGGAGATGCAATGGACCCTATGGTGTAATGTTTTGATGAGGGAATTCTTCTGGGCTGGATGGTGGTGGGAGTCAGGCTTTCGATAGGCATCCGTATGGGTGGCTTTCCTGTAGACCGAATGTCCCAACGAGCCATCAGGTCTCTTCTCGATCAAAACATCCAGGGATGGTAGCTTGCCATCCTTATATCATCCACTGGGATATGTTTAGGGGTGACTGCGAAATTCAACCCTTTAGCTAGTACCGATTTTAGGCTGTCAGAATTGGGATGTTACTCTGATTGATGACAATCTGTTTAACGTGTGGCTCTGGCTTCTTTGATCCAGCACTATCAGGCAATTAGCCAGATGATGCTGGATGTAATTACCAGCGAAACGTCGTACTCAAAAACTTTAAATGTTGTGGATTCACTCTTCAACACACCGGTGGGCTAAAGTAGTGAACTATTTGTCTTTCATATTCTTAGTTTTTTCGGTAAAGTCACGTTGAAGGGAAACAACAAAATAATAAAATATATATAAAACAATAAAAAATTCTCACGACGTTTCGACCATAACTCAAACGGTCGTCTTCAGGTGTGTTGGTTTGCATAAATGTATTTTAAAACGCCGCATTTATTTATTTATAAAAAAACGTTAGCGCCACGCGCAACGATTTGGCAGTTTATTTAGGACTAGTCCATCTATATTCTGAAAAGAGGAGGGGGGAGACGAAATTTTTTATAATGTATGCTGTCTGAAAGCCACTGTAAGCGTGAACAATCAATTAAGACCTGAAATGGTTTATCAAATCTTTCCAATGATTGCTAAGATAGAATCCATCTTCTTGGTTGAAATTGTCTCTGTGCTTGTATATGTGGATAGCCTCATGAACGAATCTCTCATGGAAGCCAGATGGCTTACAAAGAACCTCTGTCTTGGAAAAGTCAATGGCATGTGAGCCTACTGAATTAGAACAATGATCTGCCACGGCCGAGGTGTTGGTACTACCGTGTTTAAGGTCTGCTTTGTGTTCACGAATGCGGTCCGAGACATGGCGTTTGGTTTCTCCAATGTAACTACTACCACAGAGGCAACTTAGTTTGTAGACACCAGGGTATTGTATGTCCGGAATCACATCTTTTACAGACGGAACCAGATCATGGATTTTATGCAAACCAACACACCTGAAGACGACTGTTTGAGTTATGGTCGAAACGTCGTGATAATTTTTTATTGTTTTATATATATTTTATTATTTTGTTGTTTCCCTTCAACGTGACTTTACCGAAAAAACTAAGAATATGAATTACTGCAGTCACGAAAGCTTTAAATCAAAATGTATTTGTCTTTCGTCAACGTGACACTTTTTTGCTGATTGTCCGTGTCGGGCGGTGGAGGGTTACGACACATTTATAAATAACGCGATCTAACCCAAAAACATTTATTATGAATAATATTGGTTGCGATAGCCTACGTGTTAAACTACCCACAATTGTGTCAAGCTCCTAAGAGTATTATTGGTGTTTTCTTTTGCAAAACAGGACTGGGAAAAGAAGATGCGACCTGTTTTCGACAACATTGATCTGGTGAGTTCAAGCAGAGCCACCACAAGGACTCCACTGAAAAGTCTAAGTACAGTACCAGAAAATCAACACTCGTTCATGTCAAGACAAAACAACCTACAGCAGTGCGGTTTCCTGTGGACCTTTAAGTGCTGTGTTTACCTCCACTGCTCAGTGATAATTAAAGATTGAGGCTACTTACTCTTCTCGTGTCCAAGCCATAGCACCTGGACAGAACGAGATTGGTCCCTGAGGTTATTTCGAACGTGTTTACCTGAGAGATAAGATGGACCCTCTATGAGATGCGATTTGCACACGGCAAGTCCATGCTTCCTGGTGTGTATCGCTAGGTAGTGGCTCTCACAAGCCTGAGGGACCCTTCAGGTACTTGTGGGACTTATGCCCCTGGTCAGCGCCAGCACTCACTTCAGCAGCAGTGACAGCTGAGATGAATGATAACCATAAGACTCATTATTTATGCACAAAGTTGAATTTTGTCTCAAGATGTCTCCAGCAGGGTATGATTGGAAAATTCCACTCACGAGTGGTGCATGTACAAGCCCTTTGATCAATCCACTGCTGGATGAGGTCCTCTCCACATCACGCGGTTTCTCGTCTGTGTGGGTTACTTAAGTCTGTGAGCACAGACGTGTGAGGATGGAAGTGATGTACAAAAGTGAATTGTGTTGTAATGCCCTCTGCTGCCGAGCGACATTGCGCCGCTAAAATGCTGGGTTAAAATGTGACCGTCGATATCCCGGCGAAATCACTGTTGATTTTACCACAACAACTGGTCAGTCCGGGGCAGTTCAGGTCACCACAGGTATTGTAGAGAGAACCACATGACCCACAGTCTAGCAGACCGGAAAGCTTAGAAGAAATTTCCAAGAGCGGTGAAGACGGCACTCATTAGGTGACAGCAATTATAAGCCCCCGAATGCTGTTCATTATTTTCACAAGCAGCAGCTCAAATTAACTGATTGTTGTTCAGTCGCTAAGGACTTTCACACCGATATCTTCACTGTGAATCAGTACGATCCCTCCACTATGCAGACTGCCATTGGTAGGCTTCCCATGAAGGTGTTGATGTACAATAGCTTATCCGTTAGGTGCAGTCTCACGTCTGGTGAGTCTTCATATACCCAGGTTTCGGTAATGGCCAATATTTAAAGTCCATAATCGTTGATCAGATCGTGAATCAGGTGATCAGATCATGGATCTGCAATGCAACATTACGCCTATCACTTCGATCTTTGCAGTCGTGCCATACAGCTCTCCAATGTGTTTTCAGGTTGTACCACATCTTATTTCAGCATGATTTCCATGAGCTTCTTCAGCAACTCAATTGAGCAACTCCCTTCCTCCTCAATTCCTGAAGAAGCTCCTAGCACATGGAGCGAAATGTCAGACGCACGGTACAATAAAAAAACACATCGAAATCACCTGCACATTATCTTATTGTTTAGTGCCATCTCCAAGGTAGACATTCTCTGAGGCGTGTTCCACTTTTTGTCTGCTACTCCATCATTATTCCTGACCACTGGCCATTTTCCCCTTAATTGAACCAGCGTACAAGCACCACAATGCTGCCATTAATTAGCAAGGCAATGCCTTCTCCCTGTGCTGCGCACACAGGACAAAAGTGGCACCATCACTCAGGCCGAGTACGCGGCCTTCCTGGAAAGGAGTGGCATGCAGTATGACGCTGCCAACGTGAACGCTGACATGGACCCCATGGACGCAGACAAAGACGGCAAGATCACCTTCGAAGGTGGGTGGCCACGGAAGAATGTGGCACAGGATCAACCCTGTAGTGTGACATTGTTTTAAGAGGTTCATATAAAAACTCAAGATCGCTTTGCACATTGTAGTATATATGAGCTTCGGCAGGGGTCGTTTTATAATGTTTGTACCCCCCCAAAACCCCATAATTTTCACAATGCAGCATCTCCACCAATGTTCTTTCGTGATACAGGCCTGGTTTTTAAGTTTGTCTATAACTATAACTTTGGCTTTAATGTGTTTCCCTTGACTTATTGAGTGTCTGTCTTCGCCATGAATTCTGACCAACCTTTACACAGTCCAACCGTGGGGTGCAACACTATCTCTGGTCAACTTGTTTAAAATGCATTTTCTCTCGCTTACCAGAGTTCGTGAAGTTCTACAAGGCGGACTACGAGAAGCACCACAAGTGAACTCCAAGGGCGTGTGGGCAGGGTTCACGGGTTGCTCTTAGGTTTAGGCTATGAATACTACTGTCTGATTAGTCGTCACGACTGGTACCACCCCTACCACTAAGTGTTAAGCATATAATGATTAACTGTTTCATTCAAATAATTCTTACCCTTTCAATTCATGCCTCGAATTGTACATGCAAAAATCGATTATTTAAATGTTATTGCACATTATTTGCAAACATTACCTCTCGGCGAATCATGCAAATCAGATAATACAAACGAGACGAAAGGCATTACAAATTAGACCTAATTTTTTAAAATTCTTGAATAGAGACCTGAAATGGTTACAATTTACCGAATCACACGGGAGGGTAATTGTTACATGCCTACGGATCAAACGACTGCTACTATACACATATATTACTATTGTCTGACACTTGATAATTAGCTCCACCACAAAGTATCGATTTAAATGTACTGTGCTTTTACTATGAATGCTTTTCAAATAACATTTCAGATTTACTTCTGCTGGATATACTGCCACTTATATAGTAAATTGCATGATGACACAGGCTCCTATATGGCATAATACATCAATCAATTATGGAATATACACCTCATGCATTCGCTCACTGTGGTACTCACACCTAGAATCAATCACGACTGCTCCTATAGGGATCCTATTGCATGCAATGTGTATGCTCGTTTTGCTTATGCGCTTTATGAAAAATGTGGGGCTGCATTTCAGTGCGGGGGTGTATATTATGCAAGTACGGTTCTGTGCAAATACAGCTCGATTTTCTGATCCATGGTTTTCCCACGTGCAATGGTTACAAAGAAATAAATGCTGCCTTGCATAAACCAAATCGGACCATTGTATTTATCTTGTTTGTATATTTGAAGCGGGAACGGTAGTGCAGTGGTTAGTATGCTGCACTACAAAAATAATGCCCTGACTTTGATTTCCGCTCACGGCCAATCTCATTTGAGTACCTGGTGTGGTATATAAACATCGCTACTCCGGGATACAAAGACGGCTGGGCGTGGTATGTGTGAAATGGACAGAATGATTGCTGGGCACCGTCCACTGAAGGAGTGAGGGCGCTGATGCGAGCACTGACTAGTTGCATGACATTAATAATAACTTCTATTTTATAAAGCGAATTTCATATCCAAGTATCTCAAAGCAGTGCACGTAAAAATGTAAACGACACTCACAAGCATAGATCAAATCTAAGCGAAATAGAAAATGTATAATAAGAGTAATGACAACTGCACTCTAAATACCAAGAACATGAAGAACAAACTACGATAAAAGTGAATAATAATTACACAATAATCCAATCAGACAACAGGAAAAGCCAATGCATAAAAATAATTTTGAAAAAAAAGATTAACGGTGAAAGCATTGTTGTATATATTGTCTTGAAAATTTATTTTTAAAATGTATATGAAATAAAAAAATACGTAACTTCATGCAATTATGCAAATTTATGAAATATTGCGAATGTATGCAATTATGCACAATAGACTCGGCTTCGTTGTCTAGGGGTGTATTACCAACTTTGATTCTTAATGATTATGTTTTAGTGCAATTCTGTCAGGTCTCAGAATCCAGATCTCACCGCAGGATACAGTTCTTATAATTAAGATGATTATACATGAACTTAGGAAGGAACCACTCAGACTCTTCTGTGTTAAGCAACTTTAATATCTAAAAACTCTAATATGCGAACACACTTATGATCGGAATTGCCACCACAGTCCTCCTGTAGAGGTTCTAATCATCGATCCGTACAATTAACCCTCAATGGGTACGTTGTTAAAACTGAGCAACAGAACAATCGGCTAACTTCTCAGAGTAGCGCGACCATACACGGCGATGGGAAAAGTCCTTTAAAAAATAATATGATAATATTCATACGAACGTGCTAAAGAAACATGTGCCCAATGGCAAAAGTAGACATAAATTAATTAATTGGCAAGATTATGCAATTGAAGCAATTGGCGGGACTCCGGGGTCCCATCACTGCCCCGGGGTGGGAAAAACCGCGTAGACGACACGAGTCTTGTTGCCTTACCGACAACAACAAAACTAGTGGTCAATCGATTGGCCTCGTCGAGAGCTACTCGGGGCACTAAGTTTCGTAAAAAGTTGAAAAATTACATAAACACGTTAAATTCACTGCCTGGGGGCGGGCTTGCCTTGGTAAAGAAGCTGAGGATCGACGGCTGACCGGAGGGCGTCGTCGCCGCGCGCGACTGCGGCGGACGCCCCCCGGGGCTTGCGTTTGGCCGGTGGGGTGGCGCCCATCGTGTCGATCGCCGCCTGCTGCTGGCGCTTGTTGGCGCGAGTCTGGGCGGGCGGCGCGTTGCTGTCGGGATCACGAGTGGGCGGACTGAAAAATAATAATTGTTGACCTGATTTTTGCGGGACCCCGGGGTCCCGCCAAATGATTCAATTAATGAAATGTCCTGAAACAATAGTGTACGCGCGCGTGTGCCTGTTTGGCTAACAGATGCTTATCAATTGGCTAATGGGACATCAATGAATTGGCGGGCAAGATTGTGATGAAAAAAAATCACACAATAGTATTCCTGTGAGTGTTTAGATTCGTAACATAGATGCTTATATAACTGTTTAGTGTGTTATCAATGAATTCATTGGTAAGGTTAAGCAATTAACGAAAATGAATGACTAAACTACTTCTAAACGACAGGATTCATGTAACTCAAGGGACAGAACAATGTTTGTTCACGATCAGCTAATAGTTATCGCACCACCTTGGGATGGCAACCCTTTTCGAAACAAACTTTTTGGAACAATCTAATTAGTCCCGATATGCGCGTTACGTGTCTGTGTGTGTGTTGAACACACAGCGCTCTCACATGCACCGACACTCTCTTGGCTGCGCCGTTAGGGCTCTCTCCGCTGCTGGGATGGTTGCTGAGTCGGCACGATGGTCACGCTGTCCGCGGTGCCCGTGCTGGCAGGGATGATGGGTCCGGCTAAGTCTGCGTCGAGGTGCGCGATGATCCCGTTGTCAGATAGCGCTCGCAGCTCGTCCACTGGCTGCAGCGCTGTCGTCTCACTGCTCCGCGCTCTCTCGGTGGACACGCTCGGTCCTTGTCAGCAGCTGCCTGCTTCGCGTGGGCACCCTGGGCGCCTCCCTCGCCCTTCCTCCAGGAGGGCTCCTGCTTTTTAGCTGCTGCAGGGGAGCTGGCACTCAATGTGGGATAAAACTTTTTCAGCGATACTTCGTCTGTCAGCACCGAACTTACACTCGGCAACACATCGCCCCTCTCCTCTGCAAGGCCGTTGCAAGACTCGACACTGTTGATCCTTTGTAGACTCGACCTGGTGTGAGCTCGGGGTTCCGAGTCAATACGTCCGCTGAGCTGCAGCGCTTGTCCGTCTGTTGGTGCTCTCCGCCCTTCTTCCAAGAGGACTCCTGCTGTGTGCTGCTGCTTGTCGCCGCTCCTCACTCACTCCCAAAACTCATGCATTATATGAGCGCACCTCTTAGCTTCTCACAACTCTTGGAGCTTAGTACAATACAACTTATCGCAGTCATCGACTCTGCAAGCGACTCAAAACATAAGGGTAAATGTAGATATTCTTAGCTCTTTCGGTAAAGTCACGTCGAAGGGAAACAATAAAATAATAATATATATAAAACAATAAAAATTCTCACGACGTTTCGACCATAACACAAACGGTCATCATCAGGTGTGAAAACCAAGGGCAAGAAACATTTGAAAGAAGTGGCGGTTTGCATTTATTTATTTATTTGTAAACGGTGTTTTTATTTAAAAAAAGTTAGCACCACGGGCAGCGATTTGGCAGTTTGTTTAGAAGGACGAGTCCATCTATGTTCTGAAAAAAGGAGGGGGGAGAGGAAAAATTAATGTATGCTGTCTGAAAGCCACCGCAAATGTAGAATTAAACTTTCAGCGATACTCTGTCAGTGCCGAACTCAAAACTCAGCAACACAATGCCCCTCTCCTCTGCAAGACTCGTCACCCATGGTTTATTTCGAGGATCATAACCCGGCGCTTGCCACTCACAGTACTGATTTGCGTGGTTTGGCTTCTTCATTATATCTGAAAATCTCTCACCTCGGCTCGTCTTCTCACAAAGGACCGGAATTTCTTTGATTTCGCTCCTCGGCCTGTGATTGTGACCGTTTGTCCGGTGTACGTGTGTGTCTGTCCTAATTTATTGAAGTAATTTCCTAAATCACATCAAGGCCTGGCACCTCTCTCTTCCTCCAGCCATCCAGCCATCTGTGGAAAACAAATGCTTTCAATTGCCCCTAAGTGATTACAGTTTTACAACTTTCCACAGCAATTGACCTGCCAATGTATTATGTGTGGGCGAGGCAGCGGTTGGGGGGGTCCTTTTGGCCTTTGTTGCCTCGAGGGAGGAGTTCAAGGGTATGCGTCACAGCATTTGTTTTGGAACTCGCTGAACCGATATATAAGGAAATATATTACATTAAAATAGGAAAATTCACTATTAATGTACAATTTTGTAAAAGGCATATATACAACAGTATGTACAAACAGCTGCGTTTTAAGGTGTGATTTAAAAAGTGAAACGACTTAGAATCCCTAGTGGACCGAGAAAGGGGATTTCACAATCGTGAAGCCTGGATGCAGAAGGCTCTATCTCCTATAGAACATAGTCTTATCTTTGGAATGATGAGTAGACCAGAATCAGCATATATTTTCGCAGTGGTATATAAAACGTGAGCAGATTGGCGAGATATTTAGGAACCAGTCGATTCAAGAACTAAAACATGAGAATTTTTTTTAACTCGTTTCTGTACTTTACAGGGAGCCAGTGCAGAGACGAAAGAATATGAGCTATATTGTCATATGATTAGATCTGATTAAAACCCGGGCAACTGAGTTTTGAACATATTATAATCTAACGCTAGTAAGCAAGGCGTTACAGTAATCCAACCTAGATTAAATGAAAGCATGCACCAGCTGCTCAGCATCAGGAAGGGACAGCATTGGTCTTAGTCAAGCCATCTTGCATAAATAAATAAAAAAGATTTTGGTGACATTTATACGTGGGCCTCAAATGTCAAACTGGAGTCTAGGGTAAACGTTTCTGACCACAGAGGCGAACCAAATTATAGTCCAGTCTATGGTCTACACTAAAACCATCAAATGTATGCACTTGATATGGAGAGACCAACAACATCTCTTCTTATCAAAATTAAGGAAAGTGTCGGTGCATCCACAACTCAACATCAGCAAAACAACGTGATAGTATTGATAAAGATCGTAATAATAGGTGACAAAATAAATATACGAGAGTGGGTACGAAAGTAACTTCATCTCTCATTAAATCTAACCTCAAAAATGTTGAATCCTGCATGAAAAATGCACGCATCCTTGATAAATACCCATGGTTTTCGTGTTTACAGTCTCCATCATATCAACACACGTTTGATGTCATTTAACGAGGGCGTGTATGCCGACACATATACAAGTCCCTGTCAGCAATCGCTTCACCGTTTTTCGAATGCCTCCTTCACGTCATTGTCATCTGAAAAGTACTGCTCACACAATGACTGCGTCCTTCAGTTTTGGCCAAAAAGGTGGTAGCAAGAGAGTGCAACATCTGGGCTGCTCGGGGGATGGGGCAACATAGACCATCCAAACGATGTGGTTGCAGCAATGGTAGTGCGCAGGCAAGGATGTGGTTTTTGCTTTGTCATGCCGAAGCAGAGGTGGAAGTAACAAAAACTTAAAAAAAATCCATTGGAAATAAATTACATGGAATTTCAATTGAACAAAACACCCTTTAAATTAGATTTTTTTAAATGAATTCCCCTCCAGGATTTTATTCCAATGGATGTTTTATTTAGTTTTTAATGAAGTGTAATTTTATTAAATGGCGCTTAATTTACTATTCAATTTGCATTCATTCCATATGCCCTGATGGGGACTCGCTCTCTGTATGGGTCGTTAAAGTTAATTTAATGTCTCAGTGTTTATAAATAACTCAATAATTAATCGTGGGACCCTTTGGTCAAAATAAACAACCAGAATACCTGTCTTCAGAACGCAGTGACCATGCCGTTTACAATTGACGGTTGAGCCTTTAAATTCCTTTTTTATGAGGATAATTTATGGTGCAACTCCGTTTATTGACGCTTGATTTCTGTTTTGAAATGGTGCACCCATGTCTCGTCTCCTGTGACTATGCCCAAGAAAAACGCTTCATCTTCAAAACGATTCAGTAGTTATTACAGCATTATGATTGTTTACCCAGGAAAGCCTTACTGAATCTCAACTCTTTTTCAGGAGGGTCCTGTCAAGTTTTCGCAGTCAGGGGGATGTTGCTATGTGTGATCACATTTGAGTCAGTTGCACTGAAAATATTTGCTTCCTTCTCACTCAACCACCCTTCAGAAAAGTATATGGATGAGCAGGGTATTTTAACCCGTCCATTTTTCGGGCCATTCCCTGATTGGGTCAAACAATCCACGCCTGAAAATGGTAACTTGGTAACTTATTTTACTGCCAGATGTTTGGCTTGATCCGTACTGATTAGGGCAACTATAGTTCCAGAACCTTCAGCACATAATGCAATGACACAAAGGCTTGCTACAGGACCGACATTTATTTCATGGTAGCACAAACTTAGCCTAAGGGCACAGTTACATTTGCATTAGGTTTCTGTTGGGACGATCCAAGCCCAAGCATGTTTTATGGAGATACTATTCAATCATCAGCTTTTCTTTGGCTTGTGGTTGGATAATGTGGTTTAATGATTAAGTTTCACTATTTGTAGTGATGGATTAATGTAACTCCTTTTAATTGTGGGAATAAGATAGATTTATATGAAAGTAGAAGCTATGGGGTCATCTTCGTGAGATTGGTGCACTCTTTATCCTGCATCGACTGACATGTGGAAGTGAGGTCATGTGTTTTGCCCCCCATTATGGACGTTCAGCCTAAACAGTCCAGTCACAAGCAGCTTTGGTTTTAATAAACGTGGTGTCGACTAGGTACAATGTGTTAACCGTAACAAGAAATAACTATCAATTATATGTACTGTTTTGAGACAGAGATTATGGCATTATTAGTCTCATAATTGTATGAATACAAAGTCCTTACTGCAGTCACTTTGTTAGCAACATTATTTTATGGCTAATAACCAAATTACACAAAAAATGTAACAATGACTGTCAAGGTGATGACATGATATATTAGGCTAACGTGTTTTGAAATGGTGCACCCAGGTCTCGTCTCCTGTGACTATGGCCAAGAAAAACGCTTCATCTTCAAAACGATTCAGTAGTTATTACAGCATTATGCTTGTTTACCCAGGAAAGCCTTACTGAATCTCAACTCTTTTTCAGGAGGGTCCTGTCAAGTTTTCGCAGTCAGGGGGATGTTGCTATGTGTGATCACATTTGAGTCAGTTGCACTGAAAATATTTGCTTCCTTCTCACTCAACCACCCTTCAGAAAAGTATATGGATGAGCAGGGTATTTTAACCCGTCCATTTTTCGGGCTATTCCCTGATTGGGTCAAACAATCCACGCCTGAAAATGGTAACTTGGTAACTTATTTTACTGCCAGATGTTTGGCTTGATCCGTACTGATTAGGGCAACTATAGTTCCAGAACCTTCAGCACATAATGCAATGACACAAAGGCTTGCTACAGGACCGACATTTATTTCATGGTAGCACAAACTTAGCCTAAGGGCACAGTTACATTTGCATTAGGTTTCTGTTGGGACGATCCAAGCCCAAGCATGTTTTATGGAGATACTATTCAATCATCAGCTTTTCTTTGGCTTGTGGTTGGATAATGTGGTTTAATAATTAAGTTTCACTATTTGTAGTGATGGATTAATGTAACTCCTTTTAATTGTGGGAATAAGATAGATTTATATGAAAGTAGAAGCTATGGGGTCATCTTCGTGAGATTGGTGCACTCTTTATCCTGCATCGACTGACATGTGGAAGTGAGGTCATGTGTTTTGCCCCCCATTATGGACGTTCAGCCTAAACAGTCCAGTCACAAGCAGCTTTGGTTTTAATAAACGTGGTGTCGACTAGGTACAATGTGTTAACCGTAACAAGAAATAACTATCAATTATATGTACTGTTTTGAGACAGAGATTATGGCATTATTAGTCTCATAATTGTATGAATACAAAGTCCTTACTGCAGTCACTTTGTTAGCAACATTATTTTATGGCTAATAACCAAATTACACAAAAAATGTAACAATGACTGTCAAGGTGATGACATGATATATTAGGCTAACGTGACAGGGGTTGCTGTTGCACAGATGGGGTTTAAATGGATCAGTGCCTTTGACTTTTTAGTCATTTTAGTATTTAAGTGCTATTATATACTAGCCTTCTGTCTGTCCTAGGACGGAAGCTGTAATATTTGCGTAAAGAAATGTCTGCGTAGAGTTATTTATTTAAGTAACTTTCAATAAAGAAACGTCAAATTTAAAGCAAATTTGCATAAAAAAAATGTCTTGCTCATGATAGTAATGCCGGGGGGGGGGGGGGGCTCTTTTGCAGTGACGTCACGTACGGATGTAGCACTGTGCTGCGTAGATTTACTTTTGACCGTCACTTTCTGGAAAGAAACGTCATATTTGTAGCGACTTTGCGAAAAAAAATATCTTTCCACTCGACCTTCTTCCGCGTGAGTGTAAAAATCCACCCGCTCATGATTATTGTATTATTAATGACGGGGCTGGGTGGGTGCGGCATGTGGAGTGACGTCACACGCGTTACACACATTTCTGGGCTATTATAGTAGTAATTTCTATGGGAAAATCTTCGTTCAGCAGTAGATAGATCATGGATGATGCTGCTTTAAAATCAAATCCTTCATCTCGAACATAATAAAGAAAAGCGGATGTCATAGACCTAGGAGACGATAGAGAACACTTGATCTCAATAATGATAACCCTAAAATAATGAAGTCGATACTGTGGTGCACAAAGCTGACGTGATCGCTCCACTGATAGGAAAACAAAATACTTTTGCATGTAACTGTCGCCGATATATTCTTGAAAACAAGACTATTTCCCGGACTGCCATCCAGTAAGAAAACTTCCCTGGACAGTATCCGTGAATTAATGTGTCTTGTTTAGTTACAGTATGTAACAATCCTGGTTCTACAACGAGCTGATCCATTCCAATTTCATTACTAAATTAAAGACAAGCCACAGTGCGATTATGGCCATGCAACCAACACTATAGATCGTTTAGTGAACCCCTTTAATCTGCGTTCTGTCACTGGAAGAATATAAAAACGACACGAACTCTCTTCTGAAGCTAGCAGACCTCGACAATGGTATTTAGTTCGTGAACATAGTCATACACAAAAATACAATTACATTCATGTGTAATTAACGCCAAACAGTTAGATTTTTGGACATAAAAAGACTTACTGAAAATTTACTAAAATTTCAAAATATAATAACACTTCAAAAATCTACTTTACAATTAATTCCCTCATCACCATGAAGCATAAATGTAAAGTTCCAGGTTCGTTGGATGTAAAAAGCTCAAGAGATTCATGAGAAAATAGATACTTACACAATGTATTTGTATGTGGAAGGCTGAAGAATTAATTTACATGCATGTAGTGTGAACCCAGAACGCCGTATCTGTACTGTGCACACTTTAATGAGCACACGAACAGTGTTGACGATGCTTTTCTTTTTTATATTCATAGCTTGAAAGAATATTCTGGTATAAAGCTGTCGTGACTGCAGTAATTCATATTCTTAGCTCTTTCGGTAAAGTGACGTTGAAGGGAAACAATAAAATAATAAAACAATTGTTTCATATATATATTTTATTATTTTATTGTTTCCCTTCAACGTGACTTTACCGAAAGAGCTAAGAATATAATATTCTGGTAGCTTTCTGCCATGACGAATTAGAGTGCTGAAAGTGTTTGCTGTCATTGCAAAGTAATCTTCTTGAAGGCACAATTCAATCGTGCTTCCTTAAACGAGTAACATTAGAAAATGATTAATTTTGGTTTAAAGCTTTCGTGGCTGCAGGGATTCATATTCTTGGTTCTTTCAGTAAAGCCACGTAGAAGGGAAACAATAAAATAATAATAAATAAAAAATATAAAACAATAAAATTCTCACGACGTTTCGACTGCAACACAAGCAATCATCATCAGTTGTGACTTTACCGAAATAACTAAGAATATGAATATTAAGATGATGCTCATTAATTAATTTGGTGTTTTTTTTTCTGGCATCGTCATGACTCGGCGTAATGTATTCAATATTCAAAACACACATCAACCCTTTTAATTACTCAAAAAAATTACTATTTATTTAGCGAATGCTTTTCCACGTGACTGTCATACGGTTACAGCGCCAGATATGCATGAAAAATAAATGTTTGTCAATGTTATACGTGAGTGGACTCATCTCACGAAGCCACAGAGCCATGCGACAGCCTCCTCCTCCTCCAGCACGTGAAAGACAGCCAGTCCATCCGGCACACCCTGACGGACTTCACAGCTGGAGACGATGTGCGCATCAAGGAACTGACTCGCGTACGCACCGAGGAAACAGGTTATTCTTAATCTCACACATCCTCCCCTTTTTTAACCATACTTCACCATCATCCTGGTTGTGCGGGTTGGTTGGTAAAAAGCATGAGGCATGGACGTGGGAGCATAGAAGAATATGAAAACAATGGATTTTGCCATGAGATGGCAGTATAACAAAGGACTGAATCTATAAAAGCAGAGCTTTGGGTCTTTTATCTTTGATTTAAAGCTTTCGTGACTGCAGTAATTCATATTCTTAGTTATTTCGGTAAAGTCACGTTGAAGGGAAACAACAAAATAATAAAATATATATAAAACAATAAAAAATTCTCACGACGTTTCGACCATAACACAAACGGTCTTCAGGTGAAGACGACCGTTTGTGTTATGGTCGAAACGTCGTGAGAATTTTTATTGTTTTATATATATTTTATTATTTTGTTGTTTCCCTTCAACGTGACTTTACCGAAATAACTAAGAATATGAGAATTTTGATTGTTTTATATATATTTTATTATTTTGTTGTTTCCCTTCAACGTGACTTTACCGAAAGAACTAAGAATATGTTTTATTTTTATTATGCGTGATGGGTTTTCTCCTGGATCTCCCATTTTCTATCCCATGTCAAAAACTCATAAAATTGCTTAAACATTCTACATTCAGGAACCCTTCTCAACGTGAGCAGAAAGTTACTGAGGTTTTCTTAAAAGTACATTATCACATAAACACACACGTGAGTCATCGGTTGAATAAAGCACGATAAATAGGGGTGTTTTTGTCATTGGGAGTTAAGGAAGAGCTCAGCATACACAAGCGTCAAGCGAGGTGCACCTTGAGGCCACGCGAAGCATCGAAGGCTCGCTGGCAGGTCACGGGACAAATCTATCCATGTGCCATTGGTTGAATATTTCGGAAGAGTGGCAGATGCACCACCTTGGCTCCCCACAGTGTCACCTCTCCCAGCCACATGTAAACATGCACACGTACCACCCCAACCCCACGACCACCCCCACCCCTCCCCAGCTCCATGCACCTGGAAGGCCCACCCTCACCTGGGTGCTCGCAAATATAAGTGCGCGCATCGCTGCGATCCTCACATCAGCGGCTCCAGATTCGACCTTCCAGTTGCTCACGGATCACCAATGACTTCAGACATGGTAGGGAAGACACTCATTGCACCATCACGACAAGGATGCCCGGCATTGCCTTTCACACACACAGTTACTGCACGTTTTGTTAGTGAGCGCCTATTAAATAGTAAAATATGATATATTCGTATGAAAAACGTATTCTGTATATTTTACGTGCAGAGACAAACACGTTCTCAATGATGACGCTCCTATTTTTGTGTTATTTATTAAGGTTGTTAAACTGTTAACCATGATTTTTTTTAAACGGCTTTGGACGCTGTTATCCATACCAAAGCGATGGAATCGATCATCGAATCCAGTGCAGACGAACGTGGAAGACTTTTTTTAAATTGTTAATGACATGTTGTTTATTTGCATCTTAATAAGCCACTGTCAAACCACAAAATAAGACAACGCTGTAATGTACATGGATCGCTGCAGCTCATGGCTCCAGACATTCCACTGTATTCTGAAGCATTCTGAAAGAAATATACCTCTCTTAGTCTTTTCAAATAAAATGCTTTCAAACGTTGACTTCACGCAATGACCAATATGCAGTGTCGCAGCTCCGTATGATCAAATAATGCTAAGATTCTAAAAGTGTTGTTTGTGATTTGTTTTGAAAAAACAGGACTGGGAATCACAAGCGCACGCTAATTTCGAAGCAATTGACTTGGTGAGTGAAGGCAGTTGCACCTGTATCGTCTTCTTGCATCTCATTACATCTATGTACTTTGTCCACCTTATCTTATCTTGCTACATGTCATGTTTCACTTGTCTACATCCTGTCTTATCTTACTTGGGAGTTTACGAATTGAAAGGGAGGGAACGTAAATGCTTAGAGCCCCCACTGGACGAGCACTATTGCACTTATGTGTCGTGTTTAGCTCTGCTGCTCTATGAGCATTAAAGACTGAAGCCACTCACTCTTCTCGTGCCCAAGCCATGTCACCTGGACACGAAATTGGTGTCTCAGTTCATCTCCCTCGTGTTTACCTGAGGCACTTGAAATGCAGCCTCTAAGAGGTGCGATTTCCACAGAGCAAGTCCATGCTTCCTGTCGTGTATCGCTAGATCATGGCCCTCACAAGCCTGTGGGATCCTTCAGCTACTGTGAGACTTGTACCCCTGATCAGTGCCAGCACTCACCTCTGTACCAGCTGATATAATGATGATCATGAGACCCATTATTCATGCCCAAAGTCTCACGTCGTCTCAAGATGTTTCCAGCAGGGTCCTTCATTGCCGTGATTGACTAATTCCGTGCATGAGTGGTACATGTACAAACCTTAAGTCAGTCCACTGCTGGACGAGATCCTCCTCATGCCTTGCGAATTGTGGGTTATTTGACCATACTTCAACACACTGATAATTTGAGTTGAAGGTGGTGAGCGTAGACATGGGGACATTAAGGTAAAAGCCATCACTCACGGTTCTGCGATATACTAATCCACCAATCAACAGCACACAAGCTAATCCCATCACTGCCATATCCGTGGTACATCACAGACGCGTTTCCTTCCTTGGATGTGCATCTGTTGCTCGTCTTGACCACTAGCCACCTTCCCATTAATTTGCACCAGCACTCACAATGCTGCCATTAACAAGCAAGGGAATGTCTCCTCCTTATTCTGCGAAAACAGGACAACGACGGCTTTATTTCGTTTGCCGACTACCTGGAATTCTTGGAAATGAACGGTGTCGATCAAGACTGCAGCAGTGTGGACACAAACAAAGATGGCAAGATCTCTTTCGAAGGTGGGTGACCATGGTCTAGGGAAGATCACGGAACAGGGCCATTACCCTGTTTAAAAGGAGCATACACAAACTCAGAAGGGCATTATATAGTCCGTGAGTCATAATGACATCTGCCTTTGTTGCGACCATGATAAATGCTCTACCTTGCTGATGCTAAAGGGCTACACTGGCGATAATCGGACCCACGGAAGATAGAGAGGACAAAGCCAAGGGAAAGGCATTGCTATATGAACAAAGATGACACGTATTTACAAAGAAATGCTTCCACACTCTCTCCTGAACTGGAATGTCTTGCCAATTACATAAATTCTTATTTCACTTGTGGGACGAAATTGGAGTACTCAGAGAAATCACGCTTATTCAAGAGAACAGCATTGAAATGTGCTCAGACATATATTTGAGAATCCATTGCTCTACTGTCATCTCCTGGAAACCTATGTTAGGAAACTCATTACATTGTAATTTACATTCAATTAAAACGGTTTTTTTTAATTCTCGTTTGAAATTTAGCACATAACCACGTAATTATGAGGAAATTCAAGGCCGAATTATGCTTATTTTACAGATTGTTTCTTTTAATTCCCTTCTACCAACTATACAGTGCAATGCCGCATACCCGACTTGATGGGAACTGAGGTATAGGTGGTTATGTAACAAGGTCGGATAAGTGAACATCTAAAGAAAATTAGATTTGGGCCTTGCACAAATAGGTTGCTGGACCAAAGCAAAGTGCTTTAAACATCACGAACTCCTATACTCTACTTTAGAAGTAAGTTAATGTGTGTAACATTTTCAGTACATTCAGGTAGGGTGGGGTTATTCATACAAACGGTTTGGGGGTGGGCATCGATCAGTGACGGGCACTTCCTGTAATAAATTTTGTGTATATGCGGCTAACCTATTTCTTCCCAAAATTTGCGATATGCGGATTGAAATCACTTATATGCGGCAATGTGGTTGGACTTGCGACATTATGTGTACCATCTGCGCTACTCGACAGGCAGCTGTCTCGTGTGGCGCATTGTGGATTACGTGACTGTGCGGTCTCTGCTCCACAATTTAGCTTTGTCCATCCTCTTTTGGAACGTATCTTCGTCAGAAAGCGAGGGAAACGTGTACGTATGCCATCCATTTTAAATTACATTTCTCTCCCATTCCAGAGTTCTCAAAATTCTACAAGAAGGACTCTGGCAAGCAGAAGGAGAAGCTGAAGCTGAAAAAGTGAACTCCAAGGATATGACTGCGGGGTGAAAGGGTTGCTTAGTTTGTTAGGCTTCCACTCCTTGCTTCTTAATCATCATGACCAGTGTCAACCCTACCACTTAGCATTAGGCATGTAATGATGTAGTCATTCAAATTAATTTGTACTCTCTCATCCATGCCACCAATCGGCCGTGCAAGAATCAGTCATTTAAGTGTAATTGCATATTATATGCAAACATTACCTTCATGCTAAGCAAATGAAATTGTGACATGTCACCGAATCATAGACAGTAATCTTGACATGCCTAATAAACAAGCTACTGCTACTATTCACAGCTATTACTACTTTACCTGACACTACTGCTAATTAGCACTACCACTAAGGCTCCTTTGAAATGTATTTTTAGTTGAAAGGTATTTCAATATTTCAAATGTACTGTGCTGCACGACATACTGAAACCATTATTGCAAATAGCACAATGACACAAACTCCAACGAGGCATAACGCATCCATCCACTATGGAATAAAGACCTTGTGCATTGGCTCAGTGCAGTACACGTACTCACGAAAACCAGTAACAAAACACCCTTGAACAAAACTACTTTCAAAATGCTGGACGTGACTTGGTGACCTGAAGAGCAGCAGTGTACAGAATGCTAACCCGCTTCTGTCTGCAAATGCAGCCCAGCGTTCTTGAGGTGGTTTCCCACATGCAATGATTACAGAGAAAGTAACGCTGAATTAGGTTTTTCATGTGCATTGAAATAAACCCTCCCTGACTATCCCTTGTTCATGTGTATACGTGTCTACGTGAGTGTGTGTGTAAGCATGTGTTTGCCTGTTTGTTGTAGTGCATGGTTAAAAGTGTGTGTATAACGATATAATAAGCTGCATAAATACAGGCTAGTCTTGTTTAACGAATGTTCTCTCTACGATAATTCGTAGATCACAAGCAATTTTAATTTAGACCAAATTATTCCAAAACAAGCAAAATGTTCACTTAGCGAGTGGAGACTGATTGATCAACATTTGTCTAATTGTGGTAAATTTGCACAAAAGAGTGTGGAAGTTGACCAAAGTAAGACCATGCATGTGGTTGACCAATGCATGTAGTGTGAATACAGAACATCGTATCCGTACTATGCACAGTTTAATGAATGCATGAACAGTTTTTGGATGCAGTTTTTTATTAATCGCTTTAAATAATATTCTGGTAGTTTTCTGCCATTACAAATTGCAGCGCTATAAAGTTTTGTTGTCATTGTAAAGTAATCTTCTAGAAGGTCCCCATTAAATCGTGCATTCTTAAAATGATGCTCATTAATTCATGAGGTAACTTTTGGTAGTTTTCTGGAAGCGTCGCGCATGAGTGTGATTTCATTCAAGGTCCAGTACAAACATCAACCCGAAATAGGCTATTTTTCCTCTCATGAAACCTCCCCTTATTTGACCATACTTCACCATCATCGTGGTCGTGGGGGTTGGTTGTTAAAATAGTGCATCATACACGTGGGAGCATTGAAGAACAGTACAACAAATTTTTCTGTACTACCTTTTGCTGCATTTACGAATAAAGTTATTGTTTATGGAATACCCTTCTGTAAACGGTTAACAATAAACAATTCTACTCGATCAGTTAGACAAGACACTCTACAAATCACACTTAAAATTGACAGCAACAATGTCTACATCGGATTGGGAACATGTAGACAATATGACTACCTCTTCGGCTGCCACTATGTCGACCAAATGTAGGGACAATCTGATTTCCAAATTCAATCACCTCTCCAGCAAAAAATCGGATCCACACACCGAAAAGATAGACGTCAACAAAGTCGTAATTAATTGCAGTAACAGTTCCATTTCTGATAGTCTGAAATCCGTTTTAGCTAAAGGTCTAAACTTTGCTGTCACACCGAGACACTTACCGGTTAATGATATCACTGCCCATGTCGACGTTGCACTCAAGGGCTTGAGTCACATCTCTGCAGACGTAGCAAGATCTGAAATCGCTGCAACCCTCAAAAACGCTAAGTTGCCACCCAGCAACATCAGCAAAGACGAA